GGGTGGCTGTGATCCCCATCCACCAGACACTTCACTTACTGCGCTCCTGCCACTTTCCCATGGGAAGGGGACACCCGAGGGAAGAACTTTCAAGAACTTCTGCAGAGAAACCTCTCCCTGGCAATCACTGTCTAATTCTTCAGCACAATTTTACATAAAGTTCTAACAAATCCAGGTATTACAAACAGAAGTTTGTAAAATGCACTTCTTTATGTCCTAGAATAATGTTCATAATATAAGATGATCAAGCCAGGATGAGGCTGGCAGTAAAATTTTAGTGTTAATAAAAATCATAAAATTACAGATAGTGTTATTATGATATGGCAGACCCTGTATTAGTAAGCACTTCAAACAATCTCATTTAATCCTCGTAACATGCTGGGAAGTAGGGAGCCTTAACTTCATTTCTTTCAAATGAAGAAAATTGATACTGATGAGGGTAAAGCAACTTGTCTAAGGTTCTCAGCTAGTGAATAAGTGAGTGGTGTTTAAACCTTAAGTGTTTGCCTCTGAAGTCTACAATATATGGAAAACAAGTCTCCTATCTGTCCCTATACCATTCGCCACAATACTAATTAATAGCCCAGCCACTCTGCCCCTTGATTTAAAATGAATTCATTAGAAGTGCCCTATCTATGTCACTGAATCAGTACTAAAAGAGAAAATTTTGAGCGTCCTTTGAGAAAAGTTGAAATCATGTGTATGTATTTGAAGTATATGTGTTCAATATAAACCATATACATACATTCCAAACCTCAACATGTTAGCAGATATATTATCCAGAGGCAGGAAGGAATGTGAAGAAAGAACTGAACTTGAAATAGGAAGATACTGCTTTTAACCTCAGGTGTGTGACTTCGGAGCAGTCCCATTGTTCTGCTTCAGCCCTCACTTGTGAATTGAAGAAGAGAATTATATTTAAGAGATCTTAATATCATTCCCATTGTGCATACAACACACCTCAAATGTATGCTTCTACATATTGAACATATTTACCACTTAGATACTCTAGAATGATAAATAATAGAATCTTGAATGTTTTTTGTTCTGCTACTACATGAATTTAATTCTTTTTAAACTACTCATCTTGTTTTCTAGCTATAATAAAATGTAATTATATACTTTCCGATTATGGTGTATTTTAACATTCTTAAAGGCAATGGCTAAATTATCTAAGTCTTTCTAGGAAGATTTAGGGAAAAATTGCTGTGGCGGGATCAGGAGTCAGTAGACTTGACTATAAAGACATTCTCTGTGTTTGGAAAATAACACTTTTTTTTGTGGCTCACACACCAGTTTACTTTCTGAAGCACTGATTCTAACAGAAAACCTTTGGAAACAATGGAAATTATTAGCTCAGTTGGGCTAATCATCCATTTATCAGAATATTATGCAGTTCTAATGAGTAATCAGTTACTACTTTTTAAAGGTGTATGGCATTTATTTAATTACTAATGAGTACTTTAAAAGGCAAGGGTCACAGAGTTTCATATAATATATTGTACTTTTAAAAACATGTTAATTTATTTTCATCTACTTGAAAGCTAGAATGAGAGAGAGAGAGAGAGAATGAGAGATATAAGTTCCATCTGTTGATTCATTCCCCAAATGCCTGCAACAGCCAGGTCTGGGCCAGGCCAAAGCCAGGAGCCTGAAATTTCATCTGGGCCTCCCACATGGGTGGTGGGAGCCCGAGCCATTGAGTCATCACATGCTGCCTCCCAGGGTGCATTAGCAGGGAGCTGGGTTGGAAGCAGAGCAGCGAGACTCAAGTCCGCACTCGCATAATAGAGGCGGGTGTCACAAGCAAAAGCTTAACCCGCTGCACCATCACGCCTACCCCTATATTCTACCTTTTGGGTACAAAGCAGGGGGAGTAGTATCTGTATTTATACTTGCTTGTGTAAACACAGAGAAACTTGGGATGGACATATAAGAAGAGAAGAGTGCTTCCATGGGACAAGACTGGAAACACCCAGGAAACAAGGACTAATGGTGACTTTTCACTGTGTACCGTTTTATATTTGCTGCATTTTTGAGCCAGAATATTTATGAAATAAAAATTTAAAAAATGTAAATTTTTTAAAAAGGTGAATGTTTTGAAGGGGCTATTATTAAGAATTTAAAGTGACAAAGCACACTGCTTATTCTTGATATCAAGTCAGAGTCCATTGACATTAAGAGGGTCCGAGTTTTGGTTTGTGGAGGAGGAAGATGAAGAGGGAGCCGGGTATGTTTTGGGGCTCAGCATGTCCTGGGGGAGCCGAGGTTGGGGAGATTAGATGGTGTCCTGCGTGTGTGGGCAGTGGAGAGGCAGGTGAGGACTGGGCTGTGACGAGGAGAGGAAAGAGAAGGAGATGCATTGCCAACTCTGCAGTGGCAACTGCAGGGACATTGCATTTAAAATCAGTTCCGTGATGACCTCGCCAGTCTGCATAGTCAGAAGGAAGACTTCATTTGCGTTTCTGTAAATGCCAAGTCCAGCAACAAGCAAGTATGACCATGACCCAGACCTGAGAATGGAGGACACAGAACAGGTCCACGGACTTCTGCTTAATATGAGTCATTTCGCTGGCGTGAGTCAGCGTACAATGACGGTTTGCTTTTTGTTTTGTTTTGTTTGAAAGTAGTGATGCCCTGGGAAGCAGTAGGTGATGGCTCAAGTAGTTGAGTCCCTGCCACTTATGAAGGAGATGTGAACTGAGTTCCTGGCTCTTGGCTTTGGTCTGACCCAGTCCTGGATGTTGCAGGCATTTGGGGAGTGAACAAGTGGACAGACGATCTCTCTCATCTGTCTGTCTGTCTTCCAAACAAAATGAAAAATAAATAAATAAAAATATCATGATCAAAGGTTTTTTTAAAGATTCATTTATTTCATTTAAAAGGCAGAGTTACAGAGAGGCAGAGAGAGAGAGGCAACGAGAGAGAGAGAGAGTGAGAGAGAGAGGCAGAGAGAGAGACAGAGAGAGAAAGACAGGTCTTCCATCTGCTGGTTGACTTCCCAAATGGCTGCAATGGCCAGAGCTGGGCCAATCCAAAGCCAGGAGCCTGGAGCTTCTTCCAGGTCTTCCATGAGGGTATGGGGGCCCAAGGACTTGTGGCATCCTCCACTTCTTTCCCAGGCCATAGCAGAGAGCTGGATCAGAAGTGGAACAGCCAGGACTTAAACCGATGCCCATATAGGATGCCAGGATTGCAGGTGGCAGCTTTACCCGATAAGCCACAGTGCCAGCCCCAATCAGCATTGTATTTATTACTATACTTATCTCATGAGACTCAAAAAGTTAATTAATTTATTTATTTTAGATGTAGAACAGGGTGAAATCTTCATCTGCCCACTTATTCTCCAATGCTTGCAACAGCTGGGCCTGGGCCAGGCCTAAGCTGGGAGCCAAGAACTCATCTGAGTCTCCCATGTAGGTGGCAGGGTCTCAACTACTTGGGCCATTATCTGATTCCTCCCAGGGTATGTGTTAGCAGGAAGCTGGAACTGGGAGGAGAGCTTGGACTTGAACCCAAGCTCTCCGAGATGGGATGTAAGCATGCCAAGTGGCGTCTTAATGACTAGGTCAAATGTTCACCTCTAAATGAAGACTTTGATAGTCATTTTTTAAAATTTGAGGTACAGAAGAAAGAAGAAAGGGTAAAAAGAACCTTCTAGAAGGTCTCAGAAAAATAACAGTTCTGAATTATGAACTAGTACTGAAACAGGTTGACAGATGAGGAGGAGATGCTGGTTGTAACCAGACTATCTTCCTAGAAGAAAGTGATCCTGGGGTCATTCTAAACTCACTTCCTACATGACAAATGGAGGACTTGGTCCCGAATCACTTTGTCAACAGAGAATTCTAAGCTCATGAAGATAATCTAGGGCAAGATGCTTCAATGGTGCAAAAATGAGAAACAATCTTTGGTCCCAGAACTGCTTTAATTTGACCATACTTTTGTAAGGAGACAAATATGACTAATAGTGGCACAGTCACTTCTAAGTACCCCCCTTTTTCCCTCATGACAAACCACAGCTGCACATCATTTGCCTAAAATATAAATCATCTCAGGCACGAATGAGCGTCTGCCCTCGCGGTGCAGGGCTGTCAATCTTCACCGCATTGTTCAGCATCAACGTGCACTACACGCCACAGTGTTGCAGTGACATCTCTGGTTCAGAATTAAACTACTGACCCAGTAGGAGCAGCACACACTTCTTTGTCAGGCATATTTTCCCAGCGATGTACTGCTTTAGGGCTCAGGAAAGGCCACAGAGTTTTATACTGAGAAATGGGAAATAACTACCGTACGAAACACGAAGTATCGTCTCATGAGATTCCTGTTCCTCTCTTCCTTGAATGCTGTGCTTTGGAAACATGATGAATTGCACAGAGATTTGAAATCATCTACAAGAGGGCTCCTTAACCTTTGCATGACTGACATTTTTGGTCTGGATAACTCATGACAGCAGAGAGCTGTTCTGTGCCTTGTAGGGTGTTTATTAGCATCCCTGGCTTCCACCTGCTAATCTGTAAGTAGCATCCTCCAGTTGCCTCCAGACCTTGAAAATGTCCCCTGGCCATCAAAATTGTCCCTGTTTGAGAGCTACTGACATAAAGACATATACTCACTTTCTTAACTCCTTTGTGGTGCTACAGAAACAAACTTCAGTCTCCCTCAAGAGAAATGAAACTCAACTAAGGAAGTACATACAGTGTTTTTATCACCCAAAGCCACTTATCAATTAAGTGGATGTATTTCCTCTCCCTCTCCCTACAAACAGCCAGCTCGCCAATGCCTCTTCTCCCAGAATGCTTCCCTGCAACCAAAACTTCGTCCTTTCCCACACCCCTCTCACACAAAAGAAAAAACAGGTCAAAGAAAAGTCATGCCATGCACACACGGGCACCAGCCGTGGAATGATGCCCCATTACAAATTCTGTGCCCCTGCAGGCAAAACACTCTCTGTTACGCTCCAACCACACTGAAGAGCAAGCGCAAAAAGAACTCACTGTTTCTAGAAGCAGCTTTTCGGAACTTCGTCAGGTCAACGTTTGGTGGTCGGTTGGGTTTTGGTGGAGGTGGACCCAAGGTAAATAGTGGCGGCAGTGGCTTCCGCTTTGGGGCAGCTGCGTTCTTCTCTCCCTTTTCCTTCTCTTGACTTTGGGCCCATGGTCCCCCCACCGGCAGCTTGGAAGGTGCCTTGGGGAACTTGGCAGGAGGAGCCCCCGGGGCCGACTCCTCCTGACTCGCTTTGCCCAGGAAGACGTTCTTAGCAGCATCTATCTTCCGATCCTCCTTTTTGTCCTCGCCAGCTTTGGAGAGGCCCGGGCCGCCTCTGCTGGCCGCAGGTTTCAGAACCACACCAGGGAAAGGGGAGCTGGATGTGTCACTCCCATGGTCTTTGCTCTCAGGGTCCTCCCTTGAAGGTTTGAATGGGATGCTTTTGGATTTGGCTCCTGGGGGAGCCGGCGGTCCCTTCTGGGAGGACACACTCCGACTGGGACTCTCGTCTTCACGCACGTCCTCGGCGCTTGGGGCCGGCTTCTGGCCGAAGGTGGGTTTGGGGAAGGGGGGCTTGGGGTCTTGGTCCTGGGAGGCTGCCATAAACTTGCCTTTGACCCCAGCCAGCTTCGGGAACACTTGCTTCTGTTCATTTTCTGGGGCTGGAGCAGGGGGAGGAGGAGGCCCGGGCTTCAAGTCACGGTCTTGGTTTAGGGTGTGCAGGGACGGCTTACTCCCCGGAGGACGGGGAAACGTGGCCTTGGGCTCTTCCTTGGGCCCTTCCTTGGGCCCGCTGATGGGCTTGGGGCCTACAGGTTTCGGAAATCCAGCCTTCAGCTCAGGGTCTCTGGAGGCCACGTTCGCTGGAGTCCCGAATCTTTGGCCCACTCCAGTTGGCTTTAAAAATGGGGGTTTGGGGTCCTTGCTCATCTTTTCCTCAGAAGGTTTCGCCCCCAAAGGTGGCTTTGGGGACCCAAATTTAGGAAGGCTGCCGTGTCCTGGCGGGGGGCTGCCATTTCCCGGGCTGTTGAATAAGTTCTTCTTTGCCTGGATCCCGGAAGGCGAGTTCTGGCCCGGGACTCGGAAGGGTCGACTGGTAACCGAGACCTCTTCGGTCACGGTGTCCCCGGTGTTGAATTTCGCCATGAGGGATCTCACATCTGCTTTCCCATCCTGCAAGCATAGGGAACGAAAACTAGCTGAGCAGCAGAAGTTTCACTTGCACCCTTTAAAACAGCCTACCTTCAAGGGCTTCCTGGTTTGAGGCCCACAGGGCTGCTGATTGGTTAGCATGACGTTGTAACATTTGTCTTCCTCTATGGCAAAACAAGCGGCCAGAGGTTTCTGAGGTGAAGGACCATTGTTTGTATTTTTTTTTTTTATCCTCTTGGACTCATTTGCTTATTTTTGCTTCAGTCACAACGTAGTACCTTTTTCTTCTCACTCTTTCCCTAGCCCTGACTCCCTTTGTATTTGAAAAGAGCATGGGGACCAGCGCCGTGGCTCACTTGGCTAATCTGCCTGCAGTGCTGGCATCCCATATGGGCGCCGGGTTCTAGTCCCGGTTGCTCCTCTTCCAGTCCAGCTCTCTGCTGTGGCCCGGGAGGGCAGTGGAGGATGGCCCAAGTGCTTGGGCCCCTGTACCCGCATGGCAGACCAGGAGAAGCACCTGGCTCCTGGCTTCGGATTGGTGTACCGCCGGCCATGGCGGCCATTTGGGGAGTGAACCAACGGAAGGAAGACCTTTCTCTATCTGTCTGCAACTCTGTCAAAAAAAAAAAAAAAAAAAAAAAAAAAAAAAGAGTATGGAAGGGACTCCCAAATGACTTCTTCCACATTTGACCATGGAGACTGTTGAAGAGAAATTACCCTTAAAGAACACACGTAAGCTGTTCTGTGAATTTAGCCTGCTCGCTTCATACACCATAACCATGCTTCAAGTCTGGTTTGCAAGCGTTTTCTCATTCCTACCCACATCTAAGGCCTGTTTGCTGACAGGGAGATGTGGCAAAGACTCACTTATTTTTACAAGTAATAACATGGGTTTTTCTCGTTATTTATTTTTCATGCTGATGGTCAATTGCATCTGAACGAGCCAGCCAAGCGTGCTCTCCAGGGAACTGGCTCTATCCAGAGGGCACCGTGTGGATGTCCGTGGGGAAGGCACTAAGCAAGTAGTAAGGACTGGCTGGGAGTCTCAGTCCCACGGGTCTTGGCACCTCCGTAATGACATGTATTAGTTTCTCAGAGGGCCTGCTGTGGAGTCACTGCCCATCTCACCTAGAGTTACAGTCTCACTTGGCAAGGATAACCAGCATTCCACCATCTCTGGAAATGTAATCCCATTTAATCTGGGAGAAGTCATAGTGTGTCTGCCTTCTCTCAGAAGCAGGGAGTTGAGATTTTCCAGTTGTTTTAGAACTACTTGAGAAATTGAGGTTTTAAAAAGAAATCACTGAAGAGACACACATGGCCATGACCAATTCCATTTTCACATTTTAAATTTCATCTAGGAAATGCTTCTCTATTTCTCTACTCCCTTATAGCCATACACCCAAACACATTTCAATTTTTCAGGCTCCACTCAAATACCAAAAACCAATCCTGTCCACCTGCAAAGGCTTGCTCTGTCCTTAACTCAGGGCCCTTCAGAGAATTCTACATACTCCTGTGTTAGGACCGGCATGGGAGCAAGAACCAGCTACTGCTGTGTAAATGGGTGTGCTGGGCTGTGCGTTGCCGCATCCCATTCAGCCGGCAGTTGTGAGAGGACGGTATCATTTTAAGTCTGTTGCCCCAGGAAAGGAAAGTGGAGCTGAAACTGTAGGAGAATGACAGGGAAACAGTGTGGAATTTGCTTTGAATCCTAGTGCATTTGTTGGCATCAAAACAAAATGGGGTAACAAGGCACGTCTGCCAGAATTGTCATGTATATTAGAGGTGGAGTTTGCAAAATGCTCACCTGGCCCCCAACACAGGCTCAATATGACAACTGTTCAGTAGCACATTCAGGGGCTCACAGCCAGGAACTGTGAGTACAGGAAGACAAACTCAAGTGTCTCCAGGGCTCCAAAATCCGGAAACTGTCTCATTGCCCATTTGTATCCCTTCAACACCTAGACCAGACCCCTCAGGATCCTGGGAACTGTCTGGGGAATGAGTGTTGGTGTTGAACTTCATTCTCTGTATAGTGATTTTACAAGCAGTGGTGCCCTGGGCAGAGGTTTCTTTTCATACCCAGTCGTGATGCCTTTGTAGGATGTCGGGGGAGGGACTTGGGCAGGAGGAGTAAACCTAACACAAGTACCAATTTCCGGTTTGAATTTGGTACCATTTGTTTACTCTGCCGTGTCTCGGTGACTGAGAACACCTGGTTTTCTACCTTATTCCCTTTATCCTCAAATCCCTGAGCAAGCCCCAAAGGTGACGGGCAGAAGACAGCAGAACAAGGAAGAGTTTGGGTGTATGGGTGCGGAGGGGAACGGGACAGGATGGGTCTTTCCCTAAACCTCCCGGGAGATCCTAGTTGGAGAGCACTCTGACCTTGGCACAGGAGCAAGACAAAGGGTCAAATGCAAAACTTCACCCTTACCTGGAAGGAAACCTGTCTCTGGGAGAGGCTCCTTTCTTACATCATTCCACTGTTCATAATGTACATTCGATAGTTATAATTTATTCCAGCTTCCTGATAGGAAGCTGCATAACCAAGAGGTTGGAGCACTGACTTGGGGCCAGATGGCCTGGTTTGACTTTGAGCAGCTATTTAACGTTAAGCAAGAAGCATAAATTCTTTGGGCCTCAGTGTGTGCACCTCCATCATGGATAATGCAGCAATGCCCAGCCACAGGGTTTTTAGGAAAGTTAAATACTTGTCCTGGTGTTTAGGTGGGTTCCTTTTTTAATAAAGCAAATGAAACCTTACAAATCCAATCTCCCTCCCATTGCGTTAATGAAGAAATGGAAAGCAGAGGGTTTGAGCGGCACCCTACTGAGTTATAGCAACTTCATACCTTAGATTTCTCGAGAGGAAACTGATGAAATATCCTAACCCATTGTTAGACTCCATCCTTTTAAATTTAGAAAGTATAGCAGTGGTAGATCTGGAATCGGAATTCAGTCTCTGCATTGCCAACCCAGAACAAGCAGGCAGTGCAGTGTCAAGGTTAACAGCACAGGCTCCAGGATTTTCCATTGGGTTGAAACTTGACTTTGTCACTTATCAGCCGTGTGATCTAACAAGTATCCTGAGGCTGTTTCTTCCTCATTAAAATGGGAGTGAAAACAACTCATTTCTCACAGCACTTTGTTTAGATAATGATGAGATGCATTTACAAACGTAAAGCTCTTAGGTCAAAAACAGCATGCAAAATACATTCAGTGACCGTCTGGTATCACTGTTCTGATTTACAGGACATAATTTTCCCCAGATAAGCAAATTCTGAAGTTACAATCACAAGTGTCATAGCCTCAGTTTAAATCAGTATACCTGGAGCGAACATACTATTGGCTAACGTGATAGAATCATCATGTCTGAGTTTATGCACACTTTAAAACTCTTCCCTGCATGATGGAAGAGAGACAAAGAGCAAGCAACGTACTCCTGGGGAGGATACCTTGAAAAAACAGTAAGGAGCCCTTGAGCTTACTAACATATCTGGTAAATCAATAGCCTGAACTCCACAACTATTTAATCACTAATAATGGCATAGTTTTAGAGGTTGTTTGATCACTGTCACTGTTAATAAATGCACCAGATAAAATATTCAACCTCCAGTTCACCCTTCATCTTTTTTTTTTTTTTTTTTTAAGATTTGAAAGTCAGAGTTACACAGAGAAAGGACAAGCAGAGAGAGAGAGAGAGAGAGAGAGAGAGAGAGAGAGAGTTTTCCATCTGATGGTTCACTCCCCAATTGGCCGCAACAGCTGGAGCTGTGCCAATCCGAAGCCAGGAGCCAGGAGCTTACGCGGGTGCAGGAGCCTAAGGACTTGGGCCATCTTCTACTGCTTTCCCAGGTCATAACAGAGAGCTGGATCAGAAGTGAAGTAGCTGGGACTTGAACCAGCGCCCATATGGGATACCGGCAGTGCTTCAGGCCAGGGCGTTAACCTGCTGTGCCACAGCGCTGGCCCTTCGCCCTTCATCTTAATAATAGCCAGATTATTTTTCTTGATAATGATAGAAAGGCAAAAATGCTAAGGAAAGCCCTGACACTCTCCTGTTCCAATTTAACTGTAGATTGAATACACATTTCATTCTCAAAGGCTCTCTTTTATTTAACAACCGCCACCACCAAAATCGCAGAGGTGGGAACAATGTATCCTTGTGGGATGGAGTGAAAAGCAAGCCTTCCCCAAGCCCTGAACCTAGCTCACAAGTTGTAGGGCACTCATACATTCTCATTTGTCAGTATAGTACATTTATGCCTATTGTTCTTGAGTAAGTATGGGTAATATTGCCTTACACTATCAGAATTGACCTCTTTAAGGAATAAATTATGTGGAAACATCCCCAGATCCCCTCTCCAGAGGCAACTAGTGTTACCAGTTTCTTATGTAAATTAATGATACATAAGTAAATATATGCAAATAAACACACATCCTTCTTTTTTTGCTATTTATTACACAAACGGAAACCCAAAATCTGTACCTTACTTCTTTCCAGGCTGCTATGCAGTTGCTAACTACAGCACAGCTGGATGTGTGACCCATCCGTAACTGTTCTGATTGACTGGTACCTGTGCAACCCTAGTTGTCAAATATTCTCAGTATTAACTGTTTTTTTTTTTTTTTAATTTTGCAAGTTGGTACATAATAGTGCATATTATTTGTAGGGCTTAAAAATTATGTGAGAGGCAGATATACACACAGAGGCAGAGACAGACAGAACTCCTCTCAGTGCGTTTATTCCCCTCAAGTGTCACAGTGACCCTGGGTGGCCGATGAAGCCAGGAGCTGGAACTCAGTCTAGGTCTCCCACCTGAGTGACCGAGAGCTGACCGCTTGCATCGTCATGGCTGCCTTTGAGGGTTTCATTAGCAGACAGCTGGACTCAGGAGCCGCGGCGAGACTCCAGCCCAGGCACTCCGATCCGAATTCTAGGTATCCCAAGCTGCACCGAGTGCCTGCCCAGTGTCAACGCTTTCAAATGCCTCTTGACTATTACAGTAATGCAG